GAGAGAGAGGGGGAAGCAGGAGGAGGAGGAGGGAAGAGAGAGAGAGCGAGAGACTGGAGGCTCGGGAGAGAAGATGTGGAGGAGAGACCTGAAAATCCTGTCTTGTGATGGGCTAATTGACTAGTAGTAATAATAAACAAATACTAAATAAGGTTATGTGCTTGGCCAGGAGGAAGGGTAGAGGAGGATCTCGGGGCAGGGTGTCAGAGCAAGCTGGGAATGCAGGGTCCTGGCAGAGGGAGGGCAGTGAGGAAGATTTGGGTGCAGCAGAAGATGTGGAGGAGAGACCTGAAAATCCTGTCTTGTGATGGGCTAATTGACTAGTAGTAATAATAAACAAATACTAAATAAGGTTATGTGCTTGGCCAGGAGGAAGGGTAGAGGAGGATCTCGGGGCAGGGTGTCAGAGCAAGCTGGGAATGCAGGGTCCTGGCAGAGGGAGGGCAGTGAGGAAGATTTGGGTGCAGCGTCTGGGCATGAGGGGGGACGCTTACCTGGCTTGGCACCCTGCTGCAGCAGGGAAAGCCTCCAGGAAGCATGCTCTTGTTCCTTAGGGTGGGGTGGAGAGCTCCGTCCCCCACCCCTCTCCATGCAGCAGGAGACCAGTGCAGCTGCAGCACCAGGCCAGGCTTTCTGCTGGTGGGCGGGGGGGGGAGTAGAAACCCTGACTGTCCCTGCCAGATTAAACTCTGCCACTTCCCCAGCAGACTGGGGAGGAGTGCAGGGGAGAGCAGCAGAGCCTGAGCACACCGGGGGTGGGGGGTGGGGGGCACAGCACAGCCTGAACCGGGTTCCGCGCAGGCGGAAGGTTTAAAACACCGAGGTCCGGGAGTGGCTTCTCAGCTCTGGCCACCCCTCCCCCTCAGCAACAGTGGCTGCCTGCACATTTGGAGGAGGAGGCTGCACAGCACCTGAGGCCCTGTGGGACAGGGGCTGTCCTGCGGGCTGGGGTGGAGGGGGGCTGCTTATGGCCTCTGCATTGGGTGGGGGAGCAGAATTTTTTCTGGTCTCTCCACAGCACACCTGACTGCCTCGCGGCATGCTGGTGTGCTGCAGAAAATACTTTAAGAAACATTGCCATGGAATGTGTAAGGAGACAAATCTAATCATAAGACTATAAACATGTTAGAAGGTTTGTCAGCAGCTCTGACTGGGGGAGGGTATTCAGTGAACGTTGAGGGAGATCAGATCCCACAAAGCCTAATAAAATTACATATGAGTTCATCTCTAAACTAGACTTATGTCAGTGGGGCAAGGTTTAGAAGTAATTTGATACTTTAAATCAATGGTGGGGAACCCAAGGCCCAGGGGCTGGCTGCGGTCCACGGTTTGCCTGGATCTGGCCCCTGAGGCTCGGCCTCCTCCCCAGCATAGGGGAGCCCATGCTGGTTCTCCAGCTCCCTCCCCAGGCCACCCAAGGAGAGTGTCTTTCTGATTCTCAGTCAGGGGCCATGCCGGTGAGTTTGAGGGTGTTTTCTTTGTGTGTGGCCCCTGACTGATTTTTGGTTTTATTTTATTTTTCTGTGTCCGCAGCCCCCAACCCAAAAAAGGTTCTCCACCTGTGCTTTATATGATAGCTTCTTGGAACAGAGCACACAAGGAGAGGATCTTTCCAACTAGAACTCAAGTACCACATAACTTAGTTCAAGGAGTAACTATAGTTGAACCACAGAATCACAAAAAAAGAGTCCCGTGGCACCTTAAAGACTAACAGTTTATTTGACTCAGCTTTCTTGAGTAAAATCCACTTAGATGCATTGGAGTGGAAATTAGATGCAGGGAGATTTATAGATAGATAGACAACTTATCAGTTGTAGGACCAGTGTTAATGAGGCCAGTTCAGTCAGGGTGGATGTGGCTCACTCCCAGCTGATAGGGAGGTGAGAATACCAAGAGAGGGAAAACTGCCTTTATAATAACCATTCTAAATTCTTATTCAGTCCCAATTTGATCGTGTTAAACTTGCAAATGAATTGCAGTTCTGCTGTTTCTCTTTGTAGTCAAACTTTGGAACCAGAAAGTGTATGCCCAAATCTGCTAGTCTTTAAGGTGCCACAGGACTTCTCCTTGTGTTTGCAGATACAGACTAACACAGTGCCTTCTGAAAATAATAACAGTAAGTTATTCTTGTGGGAAGAACTACTTTGAAAAAAGTCAACTGGAAGGTCATAGTTCAACTTGATTTTTGAAATACCTTTCTAATCAGAAGTGCAGAAACATAAACTCAAATTAACTAATGTATGTTGAAGTTAAAAATAAATGAAGACATTTCTGTAAGAATTGAGGGGTTTTGAATTTTGTTTGGAGCAAATGAAGTGTAATAGAGATGAAGGAAGCATGTGTAAAATGAGTTCAGTTTTACATAATGCTTAACTGTGGAACTCATTGAAGTTTTGCACAATTCAAAAAATGAAGACCTACATCTTTGTGCAGCAGCTAGCAACCTGAAATTGTCAGTTAAGAACAAACTTCCATTATGGGCAGGTTGTTCAATAATTGTCATAGGGTGATTTACCTTCCTCAGCAGCATCTGGAACTGGTTGGAATAGGGTGCTGCACTACTTTCTTGGCTTCATTTAAGTTACTAAGGACTGGGGATGTCAATTAATTATTTAGCTGCATAAAACTGTAGTGGTGGCATGATTCTTTGATAGCCCCCAGGAGCAGAGCCAGCAGCCAGTGCACTCCTGGCCCCACTCCTGGGGAGCCCTCTGCTACTCTGTGCGGTGGCCTCTGTATTAGAGGCAGCAGCACAGAGTGGCAGATGACAGCTGGTTTCTGCACGGACTGTGCCAGCATCCCACAGAGGAGCCTCTATCTGCTGCAAGCCTGGGCCTGCTGCAGACAGGCAGCTCCACGGAGCCAGTGCTCTCAGGGAGCTGGCTTTTAAGCCAGCTCCCCCCAATCACCTGAGTCCTGCCTGCTCCCCTAACTTCCTCTGTGGGAGGCAACGGAGGGGAGGGGGGCAGGCAACTCCTGAAAGCTGGCTTAAAAGCCAGCTCCCTGTGCATATTGGCACTCGCCTGCCCTCATGCTGCTGGTTTCTCCCCTGGGCTCAGGCTCCCACCTTCCTTTCCTCCCTCCCCCCATCAGAGGCAGCAAAGGGAAGGGGGCGGGGAATACATATAGACCATAGAAACCCAGGCTTATCAGTTAATCTTGTAGTTGATGTTGACTTCCCTGCTAGTCACATCAACACTTGGAAGCTTACTGTGGCACAGCTGTACTGATGCAGCGCTGCTGCTTTAAGATCTTAAGTAGTAACTCTGTTGCTGATGGGCGAGTTCTCTCTACATAATAAAGCCATTCCCAGTAAGCTACAGTAGCTATGTTGGTGGGCAGGGAAGGAAGAGTGCTGTCCACTCTGGTGCTTCTGTGGTGTAGTATGGAGTAGTTCCAAAGAGACTTAATCTTGGGGAACCTGAAAAGCTGACCTCCTAGGACTGCAGGTTGAGGCTGCCCCTGCTTCTCTGTTGGGAGCTTCATCTCACATCTGAGCCTGCTTCCCTGCCCTACAGCTGAGTCAGAATACTGCTTGTAATGCTGGTGGTAATTCTTTGTCATGCCACCCCACCTCTAAAATGAAGTTTCTTTACTGATTGTAACTACCAATGAAGGGTTTCATAGTTCCCTTCTCAATGCTTCAGATTGGTGAGCTTTTTCTCACCTTACATAATGAGACCATTAGATTCTATATGTCTATATAGGGCCCTCGTCCAACATGGTTCATAATAATTGAACTAAGTGAGGATAAAGCTGAGTTGTATTGATCTTAGTGTTTAGGCTTGTGCTTGTCGAATAAAATATTACCTTAGGTGTAGACCATCTTAGGTATCGTGTGTCTCTAATGTCCTAGTGAACAAAACAGCTACGACCCTGCATACAAGAGTTGTATGCACCTTAACATTTCAGATTCTGTTAGCCTGGGGAGGGCTAAAATTTGTTTGAAACTATTCTAGTATTAGAATGGCTTCCCTCTTACAGATTGTTTTATAAAAGAAATTTAAAAAATGGCTCTGTCTTTGGGAGTAAGAATTGTTTCAGAGGTACTAGCAAGCGCTACTTACAAATTACTGTGCTTGATGCTATGATTAAAGGTGGCCTGCAACACCCTAAAAATAGGGCTTGTCCTCCTGTACTCCTTCATGAAGGCTAGAGAGCTCATAAGGTAAATATAATAAACATGGTCTTGGCTTTCCATAAGCTCATCTTAGTGCATTTGGTAACATTTTTTAACCCCTTTATCTCACGATAGCCAGCATTTATCTGAAACATTGGCTTGCCTTAAATAGGCATTAATAAAACCAAGCATTTTTAGCAGACTGACTACAAAGTGCCTTGATTTCTTAGCCCTTGCTCATGTGACTCCTGTGCAGTTTTGCTAGTTGGCCGACACATCATTGAAATTGGTTGTTTTGATGTTGATCTGTGTGGACATTCTAATTGTGGTTTTATTTTGATTTTAGCTGAAATTAGTAAATACTTTAAAACTGCACGATATCAGTTAATCTAAACTAAAATTGATATCTGCGGTTGATTTAGGGGTCTTCATTAAATTCTATAAATTGACCGCAGTGGATCAGTTTGAGTGTTGATCCCTAGGTATGGTGCAGATGTAGCCTAAGTACAACTATGCTGCAGTAAAGTTGTTAGTGTAAACATAACCTAAATCAGGCCTTTATGCTGACAGACTAGAGCTGATTGTGGAAATGTTTTTATTAAGTTGTCCACAATCTCCATATCCTCACAGCTTTAATGAAGGACACAATCCCACTTTCTTCTTGCTTCTGAAAGGCTTTCAGTTACTACAAAAGGGCTTTTCTCTGTACTCTTTTGATCTTATAGAATTATCAACTTCAGTAGCTCTCCCAGGGCAAAGACTTTTTCCCCTTTCCAGATCAGACACTGGCATCTGTGCTGTTTGACCTATCTTGGGTAAGGTTTGATATTTTGAGAGAGGGAGAGGGAGAGGGACACACACCCCGACCCCGTCCATTAACATGTCAGGTACATACACATGCACAGCAAAGGGGGCCCGTCGTCTTGTGTAACAGGAAAAAAGCAGAGAATGGAGACCTACAGCCTCTAGCCTCCGAACGGGGGAGCACTCATCTCCTGGTTCCTGCACAGCCGCAGGAAGGGGCAGGGGGAGTGCTCCTGCGCAGGAACCGGGGGATGAGTGCTCCCCTGCCCGGAGGCTGGCAGCTGTGCAGCAGGGGAAGGCGCGGGGGAGCACGCCGCTCACCACTAGGTGAGTAAAAACATTTTTGTTTACCCTGCACCCGAGTACACCCTGCAGGGGGTGTGTAGGGTATGTAAAAATGAATGTAACCTGTGGGTTATACTCACTGAAATATGGTACATCCCTAATAGGAATCATAAGTGTAGGTGGCTTCCAGCTGGTTGCCCAGTGGGATCCTTAGGCAAACTGAGCTGTGTGTGAGGCCACAGCAGCCAGAAAGTGTCTGGCTGCTGAGGCTAGTGTGTCTCTCTTCATGGTGCACCCCGTGGGGAAAGCAGGGTCTCCATGCTTTAACCCAGCACTTGTCCGCTCAGTCTCCCACTTTCCTTCACCACTTTCCTAGTGAAATAATTTTTCCTAATATCCAACCTGGACCACTCCCATCACAACTTGAGACCATTGCTCCTTGTTCTACCATCTGTCACTACTGAGAACAGCCTCTCTCCATCCTCTTTGGAACCTCCCTTCAGAAAGTTGAAGGCTGCTATCAAATCCCCCCTCACTCTTCACTTCTGCAGACTAAACAGACCCAACTCCCTCAGCCTCTCCTCATAGGTGATATGATCCAGCCCCCTTATCATTTTGGTTGCCCTCTGCTAGACCCTCTCCAATGCATCCACATCCTTTTTGTAGTGGGGGGCCCAGAACTGTACACAATAGGGGGGGGGGGGAGGATTTCAGAATGAAATTATCACAAAGCAAGTCTCGTTAACTAGGATGAGGGTGGAGCCCCTCAGAACTAAGGCCAGCAACTACTTGATGAAGTGCTGGTCTAGAGAATACTTGTCTTAAACTGGCTCCAGTACCTTTACAGCTTTATACAAAACAGACTGAGAGAAATTGTTGTCGGGCAGCTGGGACTATTTAAGGGAAGCACTGCAAATTTCATTCACTTTTGATACCAGTTTATCTTGTGACTTTAATCTCAGTTTATGCTTTTAGCCAAATCATATAGAACAAGATAGATTCAGTAAGAAGGAAGCATTGCTTTGTTTACTAAAATTAATCTGGTCTTGCTTGATTTAGTAGGGTTGTGACTTAATGGTGTAGATCATGTTCGTTTTCTACATGTGCCAGCAAATGCTTCAGGTAGATACATAGCCTGAAATATGGGTGTTTATAGACTAGCCATGCTGAGAACTACTATGTGGATCAGTCTACCTGCCACAACTACCCAAAGCAGTTACACTTGCTAGCTTAGGATACCTTCCACAAATATTGAAATTTACTATCTGCAGCTATGAAGGTTGTTCAGCAGAGTAGACAACATAGGCAGCAGCATGTGTGCTTATCTTAACCTGACTCTGTTGCTCCATTCAAGCACTTTCCTCACTGCTGAAACTTTCAAGGAGAGTAACTAGAGACCGAGCAGTAGATTTGATGATGTGGGGACTGTTCATGAGGTGTCAAGCTCAAATATGACACTTGCCAGCCATAAGTTTGATTAGCTAATGATTGAAGATTATAAATTTGGCTGTTTGTAAACTGGCAGTCTAGTAGCAAAGTAGTTCCACTCTGGAAGGTTTGGGTTTTTTGCTGTTTTCCCTGAGGCATCCCAGTCCCATGGCAATTAATCTTTCAGTGTACAGGCAGTCCCCAGGTTACATGGATCCGACTTACATCGGATCCCTACTTACAAACGGGGTGAGGCAACTCCACACTAGCTGCTTTCCCCCAGCAGACCAGGGAGACGCGAAGCTAGTGCGCCCCCCCCCCCGCCCCCCCGGCTTTTCTCAGCAGACACCTCAGCTTGAGAATAAAGGACTGAGGGAAGTGACGTGTGGGAGAATAAACTGAGCTCTGGAGAAATGTTTGGCTAGAGTTTCCCCTACAGTATGTACCAGTTCTGACTTACATACAAATTCAACTTAAGAACAAACCTACAGTCCCTATCTTGTATGTAACCCGGGGACTGCCTGTATGTATCATGATGTGTGGAGGGCTGCATGCTTAAACTCTCCTTACAACCAAGTACAAATATCTCCTATGTAGGAAAGAGCATACCGCTACCATGTTATCTTTTAACTGCTCACAGAGATCAGATTTGATAGATGTCTTGAAGAAATCCCAGACTAACACGGCTACATTTCTATCACTGTCTAAACTCAGTTTGCTGAAATATTTGAACATCTGAAAAGACAGCCTGCCTCTCAGAAAATTGCAAAGCTAAATGTTCAATAAGCTAGTTTTATAGTCTTAATATCTTTCAGCTTGTTTACACCAATCCTAGGAGTACAGGCATCTCCTTGTTTTACTACAGCTCTTACTTTCACCTCTTCTGCCTCATATTGAGGTCTAACATCCATCTAGTTAGTGTCAATCTAGGCATAACTTAGGCACCATCTTTTCATAACTGGAAAAATGAAACTAAAAGTGGCTAGATTTTGAAATAGGTTTTGGGTAAAGCTGCACAGTTTTATCATGTCCAGGTTGATGGTAAATAACAAATTGCTTCTTAGCTGTGTCTGAAAGATTTGAGTTTGTAATTCCTCCCCATCTACCGTCTTCCCCCAACCTGCTCCATTTGTGGGATGGGACTTCTGATATCAAAAGTAAAATGAACTAATCAACTAGCACCTTGTTCAGGTCATTCTTTTAGGGGTGGCAGGTGAGAACACCAGAATGTATGCGGTAGGGATAGAAAATGGGAAAGGGTACAGTGGAATTTAATTCAACCCTCTTTCCTCTCTTCCTTCTCACCCCAGGTTACAGAGCTGAATGAGCCACTGTCCAATGAAGAAAGAAACCTGTTATCTGTAGCTTACAAGTAGTAGCATTGAGCAGAAGACCTCTGCTGATGGTAACGAAAAGAAGATCGAAATGGTACGGGCCTATCGTGAGAAAATAGAGAAGGAGTTGGAAGCTGTATGCCAAGATGTCCTGAGCCTGCTAGACAACTATCTGATCAAGAACTGCAGCGAGACACAGTATGAGAGTAAGGTCTTTTACCTAAAGATGAAAGGGGACTATTATCGTTACCTGGCTGAGGTGGCCACAGGAGAGAAGAGGGCAACTGTGGTGGAATCTTCAGAGAAAGCCTATAGCGAAGCCCATGAGATCAGCAAGGAGCACATGCAACCAACTCATCCCATTAGGCTTGGTCTGGCACTTAACTACTCAGTTTTCTACTATGAGATCCAGAATGCTCCTGAGCAGGCATGCCACCTGGCCAAGACGGCTTTTGATGATGCCATTGCTGAGCTGGACACCCTCAACGAGGACTCCTACAAAGACTCAACGCTCATCATGCAGCTCCTTCGTGACAACCTAACACTCTGGACAAGCGATCAGCAAGATGACGATGGTGGAGAAGGCAACAATTAGACCCCCAAATGGACTGGCAGCT